GGTCATATGGTGGACGTATTCAAACCGGATGGCGTGCTCATAAACCGTCTCTTCGCCTTTCAGCTCCTCACCAGCTCGAAAGTGTCGTAACCACACTCTTCACTGCTGACATAATAGTTCGTGGTATCGTCACTGTCAGTGTCGCTCTCCGCGCCGTTGCACTTCCTGGAGCCGGCTTTCGCGAGATTCGTGGGGTCTGGTGGACGCGTGTGCGACTCCATCTCCATCGCGCGCCGGCAGGAACCCACACATGGCTGGGGAAAACATTGTTATCCCCAAAAAAAGAAAAACCGAGGGACTCAGCTTTCTGTCAGAGAGACACTTCGTCTTCCTCCCAAACAAAAAGTTTACTGGGAAGTGAAATGGAGAGGCGAGCGAGTCGGTACTGATTCATTACGACGTAAATGTCACACAAAAAAAGACCAGAACAAAAAAGCGAATACCACAAGCGCTTACTCACAACTGAAAGGTTTATTGCTTGAACCAAAAACAAATAACATGTAAACTTGACGCTCAACTAAATCCCGCGCATGCGCTCGCAGGAAGTATTTTTCTCCTTTGGTTTCTTGCCCTTTGCCTCGCCCACGACGCGCATGCGAGGGTTTTAGATCAGGGCAAGGAGAATTTGAAAAAATTGCAGAAGTGGAATTTCCTGCGATGCCATGCCACTAGAAGTGAAGCCATCTTTTGCCACTGCCAAGATGTCGGAAACATGCTCTTTCCTGATAGTGGCCACTTAGAGATCAAGTGGCTTTGATATAATAGTGTAAATTTTACGTCAGTTTTGGTATTAAAAGATAGTCATTCCCGACGAAATAACACACAGAAACGAGTATGGGTGACTGAATTTCCCAAGAACTCTGCCTTCGATTACAGGCTCGATAAAGAAAATTAGTAGCTCTAAGACGCCTTCGGAGAACTCTGTGATATGAAAAAGTTTCCCCATTACACTCGTTGGGCATGTGAAGTAAACGCCCTATTCTTAATCTCTGAACAGTGATATTTTATCAGGCCCCTAGTAAGATGGCCGCCGCAGCTGCCATCTTGCCTGAGGCACTGCTTCACTCCTAGGCAATGAATTCCACTCATGCAATTTTAAAGACGATAGTCTTTCTTGTGGACCTTCGACGCAAAAATTTTGGTCTGTCTGTCTGTTTGTCTGTCTGTATATTTGTCTGTTTGTATACTCGTACCGGCATCAGGTACTTGAAACGGCCGACCGCATCCGCAGCGACCACCAATGTTGCTCAAGGATGAGCGTTCATGCTTGTGCAGTTGTCAATTAAAAAGCTATTATCGCGCATGTCTAGAGCACCATAACAACACGCATATATTCTGCATATGCATCTCTTACCAGAAAACGCATACATAAGTAATTTTGTAGCGCTTATTACGCTGCGCTTATTATGCAACGATTGCATGGAACGGGGAATGCTCTCAACGCTTCGCTAAGACGAAATGGTGGTGGCACTTACCCGTCGCCTCGCGTTCTACACCTTATCACCTCTGAGAAGGGGCGCATGGCCACGCACTTTGTTTTCCTAAATAAACTGCCAGATGGCGCTCATATCTCACGTGTGACGTGACTTGATACGTTCGTTCGCCTCCGCTGCACGCTCGAGGCACTCTAACGCCGCGCCTCCGGAACACTACTCACCGATTTTAATGCGCAGAACATCAAAAAAATTTTTGTTCACTTTCTTCACACGTAAGACAATCGTCTTTCCATTACATTTGCAGATTACATGCAGATACGGGGCCAACTTTTTTTAAATCCTCTTTTGTCGAGCGTCGAGTTTAGATGTTGTTTTTGTTTATTCAGGTGATAAAACTTTTGGTTGTTATTAAGCGCTTGTGGTGTTCGCTTTCTTGCACTTGTCATTTTACAGCGAAAGCTGTTATGAGATCACAACTCGGGTCTCGTGCAGCGCGGTAGTTGTCCGCCACCGCCACCGATGCCCGTAACCACGTCGCACAAAATTTAAAAAAAAGAAAAATTGGCAGATCCCACGTAAAGTGGGAATTGTTGATATGCGAAGCACGAATGAGAAATGTTGATATGTCACTTTAAAAAGAGCACAACGTTACGAGGTTGAGGTAAATGACACCGTAAGTGACTTCCGTGTCATATTATCATGTTTGGATGTGTCCTATACCTTCGTCACCTGTTCAGATCGCGTGCTACCAAAGTAAGTGTATGTGGAGCTAGTGAAACGGCCAAGAGCACCCTATGAGCGTGGTATGTTGTCATGTTCTTGCATGACACGAGTGTCAAGATTATCATGTTTGCATCAGCCATATATTTCGTCGTCTATTGACGTCACGTAACACAAAATTTGGTATAAGTGGAGCTAACGGAACGGCCACGAGCGCATCATGAAGAGCCCAATGTACTCCAATCTAGCGTTGACGCGCACACATGCTGTGCACAGCGACGCTACGTTAGCAAAACGTGAGCACCCTATAGGCTGACGCTAGGCGCGACCAGCATCCATCGGCGCGGCTTGACGGCAACCGGCGTGAAACGTGACATGCTGCATTTCGCGTGGGTGCGTTACCCAGGCAACACTGCGTCTGCCTATTTTCGTGACGGAGGAATGCCGGGAGCACTGAAATGCGCATGCGTCAAAGCAACGCGGTGCGGCGTTTGCCTGCGAGTATATGGCAGGACCGGCGCCTGGCCTGGCAACGCCAGCGTGACTTGACGAAATGTACGCCAGCGAGGACGCACACCGCGTCACGTCAAAATGTATTGGCGCCTGGACTGTGGCATATAGTCCTGTTATGACATGACATGCATCTCAAGATTATCATGTTTGCACCAGTCACATACCTTCGTCACCCATTGGCATCACGTAATACATAATCCGCATATGTGAAGCTAGCAAAACGGCCGTGAGTGCGTCGTCAATTCGGCATATGGTCATGTTGATACATGACACGCATGTCGTGATTATCATGTTTGGATGTGTCATTTACGTATGTAGTCCATGAGCGTCACGTAATGCCGAGTCTGGTACATGTGAACCTAGTGAAACGGGTGGAAGCGCATCATGAGCGTAGCAGATAGTGTTGTTGTTACAAGGCATGCATCTCATGTTGATCATGTTTACACCTGTATGATAGCTTCGTCATCCATTCACGTCCCGGAATGCCGAATTCGGTATGATGAAGTTCGCGAAATGGCCACCAGTGCATCATGAGCGTGGCATGTAGTCATGTTGTAACATGACACGCATCTCATGAGTCTCATGTTTGCACAAGTCACATACTTTCGTAATCCATTCACTTATTGTAATACCAAATTTGGCATATGTGACATTATCGAAATGGCCGCGAGCGAATCATGAGTGGGCATGTAGTCATGTTGTTAGATGACACGCATGTCATGATTTTCATGTTCGGGTCTGTCGCTTGTGTTCGACATGCAATCATGCTGCACCATACCAGTTTTACAACATGCCATGTGAACGAAACCACTATGAGCGCTGCAGGACCATGAAATGTATATCATGACATTCATGTCACAATCTTCATATTATGACTAGTCAAATATGTTCTTCATAGAGTCATGTTATGCCATGCCAAGTTTGCTATTGATACCATTATCGAAACGGCCAGGAGAGCTAAAAGTCGTAGGCGGTTAGATAGATAGATAGATAGATAGATAGATAGATAGATAGATAGATAGATAGATAGATAGATAGATAGATAGATAGATAGATAGATAGATAGATAGATAGATAGATAGATAGATAGATAGATAGATAGACAGACAGACAGACAGACAGACAGACAGATAGATAGATAGATAGATAGATAGATAGATAGATATAGATAGATAGATAATAGATACATAGATAGATAGATAGATAGATAGATAGATAGATAGATAGATAGATAGATAGATAGATAGATAGATAGATAGATAGATAGATAGATAGATAGATAGATAGATAGATAGATAGATAGATAGATAGATAGATAGATAGATAGATAGATAGATAGATAGATAGATAGATAGATTCAAAGTCACCGAAGTTCACCAAGAAATTCTTCGCATTTAAAAAGACAAACACAGATCAGTAATACAAGGTTTGGTAGTGTAAAAGAGGCGATCAATGAATACACGACCTCGCCAGAAATATAAATAGAATAATTGCAAACATAAATTTCGACAATTCAACTAGTACGGTAGGACTGCTCTCTTTAGTACGATAGTAGAGCTGACTGGAAACCAGTTAATTTTTTAATAATCACAATGGGGCGCGGAAGGGCGTTCCACTCGTTTATTTATAAAATTAAAGGAGAGTGTAAATATTTTACTGCATGAGCAAATACACGACACACCTTCTGATCGTGATCAGATCGGGCTGAAACGTTTACGGCTCCATGAATGACTTTCCACGTGAAAGAACTGATGCTAATAAAAACGGGTGCTCTAATAGCTGCCACTCGTCCTCTCGGGAGCTTCAAATATGCAGTGTTTCTTGACCACACTCAAAAAGATTTTCAGTGCCCCATTAGGCCACAGGGGTCACCTCTAGATGTTGCTGACATACACAAATCCTCATGCCGCTTACCTTAACTAACGAACCGTAGGTGGTCACGAAATGACATCCCTCAATAGGCGTCCATCACAGTCGCATTTTTCCAATGCTAAGTGAAAATCTGAACGTTTCTTCCCAACCATGCACCAGGAACGGTTGCTCCCAATGCTTGGAAACATAATTGCGACCTTTCACTTTCCTCCCACTCTCAAAAGCACGGCAACGTTGGAAAACATTTATAAATTTGTCGCTGTTATATAAGACAGTTGTTGCGCGAATAAGATTGTCATACGGGCGTAATAAAGTTGGCCGCTGACCATTACCTTGTCCGAAGGCAACAAACTACATTGCAGTTTAAATTTTTACGTGATATTCAAATCACACGCTGCTTTCAGCGAGATACTTGCCGTTCCAAGTAAAAACTCTCCATTTAAAAAATATATATAGGCATCAGTATTTCAACCAGTTTGTTTATTGACATCCATTTCTTCTGAAACAGTGGCGCGAATATTACGCTAGTTGAGGATTGAGCAATGGATTGTGCAGATTATTTATTGCTTTCTGTTTCTGGGCCAGGCACATAAGAAATCAAGCCGGAGACTTGGGTTAAATCGCAGCAAAAATTTTTCGTTTTTTCGGTAGAGTAGAGCTCTTCATATGGTGCGGTATGCCCAAATGGAAGCAGGGCTGTAAAATAAGAATACACTTGCTGGGTCACAACGCAATCATTCAGACTCCCTGCTTGGTATGAATTAAAACGTGTAGCGCATCCTGAACAGCCGAGCTGTGAATGAAAGAGGATAACCTGATTAAATAAAAAAAACGCCAGGCCTGCGCTTCAGAGCCTTTTTAAGCTCTCTTTCGGGCACGCACACCTGCAGGGTAACCACTACGCTATTAATCATAGAGTTAGCATGCATTCACTATTCCATCCTTCGGAAAAAACCTGCTGCACACATTCAAGGGTCGGCTGCGCTTGACTAGAAGGAGGAATTATGGCAGAGAATTTAGTTATTACCAAAATCCCCCACAGCAGGTAGGTCCCACACCTATTAGAGGAACAAGGTTGAGCTTTTGTAAATGGTTAGATCATTCGATAACCCACTCACTGCACAGTCTGTGACACCTCAGTGTTCTTTTGCTGTTCTAAAACGCTTTATTACTAATAATACCGCGATTCTTTTGCCGACGTCAAGCCATGTCTAAGGCGAGTTTGCAACAAATTTCAAAACACAGGCGTGGCACAGAGGTACTGGGCTGGCATGCAGGAGACCCGTGTACGAATACCATAATGTACTTAATGTTTTCTGTCTACAGAGTTGTCCTATTTCAGGCGATAATGTTTACACACACCAGTGGTGGTGGCAGCGGCGGACAGCTACGGCATGCACGTAAACCAAGTTGTCATCTTATAACAGCTTTCGCTGTAAAACAATTATGTGGTAAGGGCTCGTGAAAGAACAGTAGCACCTTTGTGTTGCAAAACAGCGCGAAATGCCACTGCCTTCAAAATGATATTGGCCTTTGTACCATGTCAGGCACCTAGTTCAGTGCTCAATATATTCTGTGGCTGTAGCGCCATCATTTCTAACCTGCGCGAAACATTGCAGCAACTGCAATGTTTCGCACAGGGAAACATTGCAGTTGAGAAATATTGCAAACACTGAGAAACATTCGCGTACTGGACGAGCATTCATTATACGTTGAAGAGGGACTCTGTAGTGGCGCAATAGTGCTTCATCAAATGAATCGGTGTAATTAAAGATGCCTTCTATTTTATTAAAATATTAAATAATAAAGACGCCTATTCTATTTTATGTTTGTGTTGCACGACGTCATCGTGGATACGTTAAGTGACGTTTTAACTGCGTCAGCTCCAAGAAGCCTCAAAGAAAACAACTATTCTGGCCAATCTGATTGATTGATATGTGGGGTTTAACGTCCCGAAACTACTATATGATTATGAGAGACGCCGTAGTGGAGGACTCCGGAAATTTAGACCACCTGGGGTTCTTTAACGTGCACCCAAACCTGAGCACATGGGCCTACAACATTTCCGCCTCCATCGGAAATGCAGCCGCCGCAGCCGGGATTCGAACCCGCGCCCTGCGGGTCAGCAGCCGAGTACCTTAGCCACTAGACCACCTAGGACACACAACCACCTCATTAGTTAGCGTATATAGAAGCACAATACATGAAGTATTTCTAGATTACAGCTGTTCTCGTTTCCTTTATCGTCTCCGTAACAATGTGTCACAATATATATATTTCGTATGCAAAACCGCAGTAGCCAAAATTTCTTGCATTACAACAAATTACATTAACCGACAGGGTGTAATAGGTGTTCTTGTTCTTTTTTGGGGGGGGGGGGTAGATGCTATCATCATCGTGAGATTCTTCTTGTGGCACTAAATGAATGGCAGTGATAAGCCCCTGCCAGTCGCTTAGGAGAAGGTTATTCAGTTGCTTGAAAGAGGTATGTTCAAAGAGGAAGCAGTGGGGGTGACACTGACAACATATAAACTTCTTTTCAAAAGGGAGACACCAAATTTGGGCACAGAGCATACATCGCTGATACGGTGATGCACCACCTGCTGAGGTTCATAGCCCTCTACCTAAAATTTAATCGTGGCTTCGAGCGCCGCCGCGATGGTGGAGCGGCTAAGGTAGTCGACTGCCGACCCGCGGGTAGCGGGATCAAATCCTGGCGGTGGTGGCTCCATTTCGATGGACGCAAAAATGCTGTAGGCCCATGTGCTCAGACTTGGGTGCACGCTGAAGAACACCAGGTGGTTGAAATTTCCGAAGCCCTTCCTTACGGCGTCTCTCATAATCATAAGGTTGTTTTTGAAGTTAAACCCCAAATATCATCATGTCTCATATTTGTCTGGTGGTTTTCGGATGCTAAACCTCACAGATCATCAATCGTGGCCTCTAGTGCTCACTCAAGGCAGCACTTGCACATCATATATTTGTTCTACTACAGTCATAATAGTGCTACGTGAAAGTGAAGTTAACGAAAGCAGCAGGGTGTATATCGATGGTGGAGCTGTTTATTTGGCTGGACCTATGGCCGGTAAACGGAAAGTTAGACTACAGCAACACGGAGGCAATGATGGCTTGGAACAGAGCCTCTAACGTCGGTCGATTGATGAGCGGTGAAGCGCGTCGGCATTTATGCATGTGCCGTCGAATATCCCGGCGCTCTCAGGTGTCACGTGGGATGCAGAATAGTCAGTTACGTTAGCGTCGTGCGTGTAATCTCAACAAAATGACCTACTACAGCCCTGCAGATTATCAAACACTGCCGGCGCAGTTTGCGCTGAGAATCATTTACACTGTGATGGGGCGGTAACAATACTTAGAGAAGGAATGTGACAGCAAGAATCAATCGACATTTTTACAATTTTGCAATTGGGACGTGTCTTGTGGCTCACCAAACATTGTTGGAAAACCGTTAATTGGAGAAAAGACGTTGCCACCAAAAGAGCGAAAGCATTTCCAGTGCAACGTGATGAAAAACATTGAAAAACCACACATGCTTGTTAGCTAGAACAACGGCCAGAAAGAGGAAAATGGAAGTTAGTGATGACAAAATTGAAAACAGGAAGTGGGAACTGTTGAAATCTTTTCGTGCAGTTCCCAAAAGTGCTCAAGACAAAAATGTAGGCTGTCTGCGCTTTTACGAACATTTAATTGAGCCAATATCGTTGGCAATAAAGATAAAGTTACCTGACTTCGGCAACGTAGCTGAATGAGGAGAGGAGGAAATGGATAACGTTGCGGTTAGCCTGAATAAACTACCGAAGGCGCACTGATTTCGTGTACATTCACGTAGTACACACTTCATGGCTAATGAAAAGAACTGTTTCTTTGTTCAATGAAAGCCTGCTCTAAAAAAAATTCTAAAGTTCTTATGAAATGCTGAGCTTAAGTCTTGTGTATTCCTTGCACAACTCTGCTGTCGATATTTTCCCAGGTTAGGTAAGTCTGCCAGCCATGCTAGACGCTCTCAAACGGCAGATAGAGTGGTCAGCCCGTATTATTTTATCGCATGTATAGTGCCGTATACTTTTGCATTTGTGGAGAATGTCGTTTCTTCAATGTGAGGCGCTATGATGCGGTGGCGACAAAGGCTAGTCCCAATCTTAGACTCCCTTCGGAATGTCTGCAGTAACAGTGAAAAAAAAAATCTGCGCAAAGAAGCGGAAACATCTGCAATCATGTTTTCATCAGCTTCAGATAACGTGGGTAACCATTAAGCCTCGCCTTTAAAGGCAAACGTTATATAGTAATATTTCGTTCCTAGTGCATAATTCAAACACTTCGTGTATGTAGGGGGTGGCTGCACATTTAACTATGAATTCATTATGATTATCCCATGTTGTAATGCCCGATGGCAAGGTACGCTTGTACTACGCAATATTATCGCAATATTTCATGTTGTGTTGCGAAGCATGTATACAGGACGCATGCGTTTGTAAAAAAAAAGGTGAAATATATTTTCGCTGCATTTCCAAGCATAGGCAGTTCCTGACCCGTGGTTCTGTTCATGCATGTCTCTTTTTGACCGGTTCGCAACCACCTAGTTGTATGACTCACTCAGCAGGTGACATACATACATACATACATACATACATACATACATACATACATACATACATACATACATACATACATACATACATACATACATACATACATACATACATACATACATACATACATACATACATACATACCTACACCACACATACATACATACATACATACATACATACATACATACATACATACATACATACATACATACATACATACATACATACATACATACATACATACATACATACATACATACATACATACATACATACATACATACATACATACATACATACATACATACATACATACATACATACATACATACATACATACATACATACATACACGCCCCGCCACGGGGGTCTAGTGGTTAAGGTACTCGGCTGCTGACCCGCAGGTCGCGGGATCAAATCTCGGCTGTGGTGGCGGCATTTCCGATGGAGGCGGAAATGTTGTAGGCCCGTGTACTCAGATTTGGGTGCACGTTAAATAACCCCAGGAAGTCAAAATTTCCGGAGCCCTCCACTACGGCATCTCTCATATTCATAGGGTGGTTTTGGCACGTTAAACCCCACAAATCAATCAATACATACATACATACATACATACACACATACATACATACAGAGGCACAGGCGAATACATGGACGGACAGACAGACGAATGCACTAATGGACGGATGGACAGAAGCATTGACGGAGAGACAAATTGACGAACGGACAGACTCAAAAACGAACGGACGGGTAGACAGAAGCACTTCTCAACAGAAGCACTTCTCTAATTCGAAGCATTTCTCAACGCTTCGAATTAAACAGAAATTTTGGGTTCAAGTGGATACCGTACCCGGATCGATTGCGTAGCGAACGGGTGTTCTACAACGCAACCATGCTCTGCTTGTGAAGACAGCGAAAAAAAAATTACAGCATAGCCATGATTGATTTATATGTCAGGTTTAGCATGCTGAAACCACCATAAGATTATGAGAGAAGCCGTAAGAGAGTTTGAATTTCTCAACGAAAGGAACAAGCAGGATTTCGAACAGGCTACTCAACAATCGACCACATTCATACGATCAATCAGGTAATAGAGAAATGCTCAGAGTATAACCAACCACTATACATAGCCTTCATAGATTACGAGAAGGCGTTTGATTCAGTAGAAATATCAGCCGTCATGCAGACACTGCGGAATCAGGGCGTCGATAAAGTATATATAAACATCCTGGAAGAAATCTACAGGCGATCAACTGCTACCATAGTGCTTCATAAAGAAAGCAACTGAATACCAATCAAGAAGGGTGTAAGACAGGGGGACACCATCTCCCCAATGCTATTTACCGCGTGCTTACAAGAGGTTTTCAGAAGCCTAGAATGGGAACAGTTAGGGATAAGAGTTAATGGAGAATACCTTAGTAACCTGCGCTTCGCCGATGACATTGAATGCTGAGTAACTCAGGGGACGAATTGCAACTCATGATTACGGAGTTAGACAAGGAGAGCAGAAAAGTATGTCTTAGAATGAATCTGCAGAAAACGAAAGTAATGTACAACAACCTCGGAAAAGAGCAGCGCTTCGACATAGGTAATAGTGCAATTCAAGTTGTAAAAGACAATGTCTACTCAGGGCATGTAATAACTGCGGAGCCGAACCACGAGATTGAAGTGACTAGAAGAATAAGAATGGGGTGGAGCACAATTGCAAGCACACTCAAATAATGACAAGTATATTGCCACTATCGCTCAAGAGGAAGGTATATAACAGCTGTATCTTGCCGGTACTTAGCTACGGAGCAGAAACCTGGAGACTTACAAAGAAGGCTCAGCTTAAATTGAGGACGACGCAGCGAGCAATGGAAAGAAAAATGGTAGGTGTAACCTTAAGAGACAAGAAGAGAGCAGAGTAGATCAGGAAACAAACAGGGGTTAAGGATATCATTGCTAAAATCAAGAAGAAGAAATGGACATGGGCCGGGCATGTAGCGCGTAGACAGGATAACCGCTGGTCGTTAAGGGTAACTGACTGGATTCCTAGAGAAGGCAAGCGGGTTAGGGGGAGACAGAAGGTTAGGTGGGCAGATGAGATTAAGAAGTTTGCGGGTATAAATTGGCAGCAGAGAGCACAGGACCGGGTTAACTGGCGGAATATGGGAGAGGCCTCTGTCCTGCAGTGGACGTAGTCAGGCTGATGATGATGATGATTTCTCAACGAACTTCGGCGACATTAAACGTATCTATCTATCTATCCATTTATCTATCTATCTATCTATCTATCTATCTATCCAACTATGACTTTTGGCTCTCCTAGCCATTTCGATAATGGTATCAATACCAAAATTGGTATGGCACAACAAGACTGTATGAAGAACATATTTGACTAGTCACGACATGAAAATCACTACATTTATGCCATGAATGTCATGATTTACATGTCACTGTCTGGCAGCTCTGGCGGTGGTTTCGTTCACAAGGCATGTTGCAAAACTGGTATTGTGTGACATGATTTCATGGCGAACACAAGTGACAGACGCTCACACGAAAATCATGACATGCGTGTCATGTAACAACATGACTACATGCCACGCTCATGATGAGCTCGCGACCGTTTCGCTAGCGTGACATATTACCGAATTTGGTACTACAGTACGTAAATGTATGACGAAGGTATGTGACTGGTCCAAACATGATCACCATGAGTTGATTGAGTTGATTTATTTGTGAGGTTTAACGTCCCAAAACCACCATATGATTATGAGGGACGCCGTAGTGGTGGGCTCCGGAAATTTCGACCATTTGGGGTTCTTTAACGTGCACCCACAGCTGAGCACACGGGCCTACCACATTTCCTCCTCCATCGGAAATGCAGCCGCCGCAGCCGGGATATGATCCCACGACGTGCGGGTCACCAGCCGAGTACCTTAGCCACTAGACCACAGCGGCGGGGCTGATCATCATGCGTTGCGTGTCATGTAACAACATGACTACATGACACGCTCCTGATGCGCCGGCAGCCGTTTCGCCAGCTTCACTTATACTAAATTTGGTATTACGGGACGTGAATGGAGGACGGAGGTATGATACTTGTGCATGCATGATAAACATGAGGTGCGTGTCATGTAACAATATGAATATATGCTACGCTATTGAAACGCAGTGTTATTTTGGGTAGCGCATCGGCGCGAAACGTAGCATTTCGCATTTCGCGCCGGTTGCTGTCGGGCAGCGCCGACAGACGCTGGTCGCGCCGGTCGCATTTGGAGTCAAACTATACAGTGCTCGCGTTTTGCTAACGTAGCGTCGTTGTGCCCAGCGTGTGCGCGCGTCGACGCTGCATGGGAGTATAACGGCCCTTCATGATGTGGTCGCAGCCATTTTTCTAACTCTGCATATACCAAATAAGCGCGAAGCCGAACCACGAGATTGAAGTAACTAGAAGAATAAGAATGGGGTGGAGCACATTTGGCAAGCAATCTCAAATTATGACAGGTGGATTGCCACTATCCTTCAAGAGGAAGGTATATAACAGCAGTATCTTGCCGGTACTTAGCTACGGAGCAGAAACCTGGAGACTTACAAAGAGGGTTCAGCTTAAATTGAGGACGACGCAGCGAGAAATGTGAAGAAAAATGGTAGGTGTAACCTTAAGAGACAAGAAGAGAGCAGAGTGGATTAGGGAACAAACTGGGGTTAAAGATATTATAGTTGAAATCAAGAATAGAAAATGCGTGCAGCGCGTTTTTACACCGAAAGCTGTATTTGGCTAAGAGCAACGAAAAACCATCCGTCCAAAGTATCATATGTGCTCTCCATTGAGTGTGTTATCAATTACGTCATTGGCAGCGTAGTGGCCGAGCACGCGCGTCATCGGATGCGTTGTGAGTTAGCTCACGATGTCAAACTTTTGCGAAAAACACGGCGTTGCGGCGTCAATGTGATGATTGCAACAGCCTGTTCTCCATAGCGAACACCCGCTTCAGGCGGGAGCTCCTCCAGTGGCCCTTTGGCTTTGGCGGTGATGCCTGTGACCACCTATTGTTTCAGAACAACCACTACATGTGATTTACGCACTGCGAAACACATATAACCACTCGTTACACTCTTACATGACCTTTATCATGCGACAATGAGTGGCATGAGATAAAAACACTGTGCTAAACCCAAGTCAAACGTTTGTCTAACCTCAACAAGAAGCACGAACATGTAACCAAGATTTGTGAAAGGCTTCAGTGCAGCGTCGGGATAAACTCACTGCTCTACACCGGGACCGAACGCTTTAGCTTTCGATGGTTAACCATTTGTGCGAAGGGCTTAAGTGGTTACGTTTTTTCTCTTTCTTTTTTGCATACCTTAAAATCCAGAGCAAGATTTTTGTGTGTTTTGAGTACAAAACTAGTGCTGCTTTCGTTTGACTCAGTCCTATAGAGCCGTACTCAACATCATGATAATGTGGACGCCATGCGTCGTGGTGTGCAAAGGCGTGATCTTGAATGCTTGACTCTCCTATCGGCGGAATAATGGTGGGGGAGGCAAGCCATGGCGTTAGTTGGGCGGCAACTTGTACTAGGGGGTGTGCATGTATACGTCTCAGCTAGTGGTGGCCATGGTCGACATAGTCAAGTCCCGAAGGATATTCTTACTGCATTTCAATTCACGTGAGCTCTCCGGCATCCAAAATACATCATAGACACTGTGTCGAATGCAGTAACTTTAGATTAGCAAGGTGATTGAAATTCAGAAGCTTCTCTACGTCACTGAAAAGAGTTAACATCTAAATAGCTTCAGTTATCAAAACTACTTGAGGCAGAGAAAATCATGTTTGGCGAAAGTTACATTCAGTTTTCAGAAATCTGCCCATCGTTCATGCATGCTTTCTCTCGTCTGGGCTGCGTTCTACCGTAAGGACTCTCACACATCCGTGTCTATGGTCTATAGGGTTTCCAGAGCTGCAGTTTGTATCAGCAGCAAAGCATTGATTTCAAATATCGATTACTTTGTGAATAAACCACTGCACGCATCGAACTTTGCAGTATGCATGTTTCATGGCTCCGTAAAAATGTGGGTCCTCGGAAAGCGTTCATTTGTTTATTTACTTATTAAGGTTTTAGTTACTTATTTATATGGTACCAGCATCGCCATTAGTAGGCAATACAGCAGAGGCGTATATGCAACGTATGTGAACATTCATTCACATTCAATACACTAAGGACGGTAAAAATCTTCGTTACATTGTATTTCAACAACAGTCTGTCGGTAACTTCAAGGCGAACTGTATTCTCGACCACGAAGAAACTTGGCCTTTTCAGTGCATGATTTGAGTCGTCTTCGTGTTTATGTGAGTGTGTTTCGACTAGATTATTGTATCGACAGCAAAAGCTCACATGACTGCCAACGCAGCGTAGGCGCGGTCACTACATCAGTGTCATCTTTATGTAACAATTTGAATGGGATATTTAACCTAGTTGCGATAAGGCAGAGCGTAATTTTACCAAACGCGATGACGCCCACGATGATCAGCTGCATCCTCAGGAAACCAAACATCATTTGCGGTATTCTGAAAGAAAGAGAAAAATGGTCAGGTCATAATTTTCAAGGAAGTATCTCTGACAACCACGCACACTCAAAGCTCATTAGTTAGGATTGCTTTCATGAATGTGTGAATGTGAGTCAGTAAATATTGGTCATCATTATTGAATTCGTAAGCAATTTAAGGAGTCGAAATCGAAGGCTTTCATTGGTGACAAAATACAGCCGCAAGGTAGTTTGAACAGGCTGCTACTTATATGGTGCGTTAGTATAAGTTGTGATATTTTGTCTGTTATCATCCATTCGATTATATAAGTGCGTCTACCTCACCAATACATTTCTCTGTTAGCATAATAATAATAATAATAATAATAATAATAATAATAATAATAATAATAATAATAATAGTATTATTATTATTATTATTATTATTATTATTATTATTATTATTATTATTATTATTATTATTATTATTATTATTATTATTATTATTATTATTATTATTATTATATTATTATTATTATTATATTATTATTATTATTATTATTATTATTATTATTATTAGCCTAATGTACGGTACTGTGCGTACCCAAATCCCGTTGTATAAAGCCAGCTGTAGAAGAGGCCCTCTGAAATTTCAACCAACTGGGCTTCCCGAACGGGCCCCAAAGTATAATTGTACAAGGGCTAAGCATTTCATTTCGCCTCTGTCGAAATGCGACCGCCTCGGTAGAGATTAACAGCGTGACTTTCGGGTGAGCAGCCGAACACCGCAACCACTGTACTCCCTCAGCACGTACACCGCCGATAGTGGTGACGCGTTTCTGCAGAACTTGTCTAAACACAGCGATGGCACTAAAGGGTGCATATCTTAGATTTACTCGGCTTGAAGTGGGTCTTTCGCACTCGCGATACTTGTTGATAATTGAAAACTTTGCCTTCAGTTTCAGACCACACTTTTCTATTTGTCCAGTTGATTTCATATCTTTTTTTTTTTCAATTAGAAAAAAACTTCATTGTTTCTGTGGTGTCAAGCTAGTACGTCCTTTGGCCTTCCAAAGGAAATACTAGATTATCAAGAAGCCTTTCTTTAGCGAAAATGCAAAAAAAAACGAATGATGGTGTCTGTTTATTATGAATATTTATGTAGCAGTCATTTTTTAAGGAAAAATACACAGTGATGACGGAGAAACAGTTTCTCAGAAACAAAGAGGTGGCATACTTACCACTGATGTGCCTAACTTGCGCAGCCTCTAGCTTCTTTCACTCAGCGGCTGACCTTAAGGCAGCTTTCAATGTTCTCTAGACGTGAAAGAATTCAGAGTGAGCTCCTGAGGCAACCTTCCTCTCATTATATAATACCAGGCGTTGCCGTTACTCTTCGTGAGAATTGCGTAGATTCACGCGTTAACCACGTGCCAAGTTTAATGCAACATTGCGAAGGCTCCGCAATGAGGAAGTTGCGGAAAACTGGATGCCATGTTTTTTTGCGTAAGTTACATTAGAAGCAGCTGTGACACAGATAAAGATTCATAGTTATAAGACTAAAGAAACGCGTACATGATAAAATGAATGTGCGATATGCGTCATGAACGTACCCGTAAATCAACAGACGACACCAGTCACACAATGATCGATGTGGAAAGAAGAAATATTATAGTGTATTCTCTGAAACACAAATGTGGAAAAGGGCAGCGCCAGACCTTTTTTACAATTGTGTCACACGTTTCGCCGAAGACCTAAAACATTGCGTTGTTCAGACTCTTCAACGTCTTCTAGTGCTGCACCACTGAGACTGTCACGAATTATTTATGGTCGTTTTTATCAGTGAACCTTTTATGATTTTAACAGTTCTTTCGGCTCAATGCCTGCATCCTTAATTGTGGTGGCAGCATTACATTTTCCTGACAGGTGCATCGCGTGTACGTACCAGCATAACGGTGTGCTTTAACACTGCACAAGCAAAGCTGCAGCCACTTTCTATGTCAAGAGTAAAAGGTGTCTTTAATGATGCAGGCTCAACCCTACCCAGATGCATCGTTCCAAAATAGCGTAGGAAACCGCATAGATCTCGCGCTGTTAAAAATGACAATTGAGGCTCAACATGCCGAAACGCTTAAGTGGAGACGCTCAAGTGGACGGCTCCGGTAATTTTCTTCTTTGCCATGCACCTGAATCTAAGTACACTAGTCCAGTGTATTTTAATCCCTATCGAAAATGCAGCTCCTTGATTCAATCCCGAGATATTTGGGTAGATTAAGCATTTTAAATGCGAAGCATTTCTTAGCGAACTTCGGCGACTTTGCGCGTATCAATCTATCTATCTAGCTGCCTATGACTTTTAGCTCTCCCGGCCGTTTCTATAATGGTATCAATACCAAACTTGGTATGGCATAACATGACGGTATGAAGAATATAACTGAGAAGTCATAACATGAAAATCTTGATATGTATGTCATGAATATCATTGTTTACAAGTCATGGCGCTGCAGCTCTTGTGGTGGTTTCTTTCACATGACATGTAGGAAAACTGGTATGGTATGACATGATTGCATGGCGAACACAAGCGATAGACCCTAACATGAAAGTAATAACATGTTTGTCATGTAATAACATGACTACATGCCACGCCCATAATGCGCTCGTGGCCGTTTCGCTAGCGTACAATATACCAAATTTGGTATTACGGTACGTGAATGGATGACGAAGGTATGTGACTGGTGCAAACATGATAATCATGAGATGCGTGTCATGTAACAACATCACTACATGCTACGCTCATGATGTGCTGGCGGCCATTTCGCTAGCTTCACTTATACCAAATATGGTATTATGCGACGTGAATGGATGACGAAAGTATGATACTGGTGCAAACATGATAAGCATAAGATGCGTGTCATGTAACTACACGACTACATGCTACGCTCACGATGCGCTCGCGGCCGTTTCAATAGCTTCACATGTACCAAACTCGGTATTACGTGACGCGAACGGACGACGTAGGTAAATAACACATACAAACATGATAATGCCGACATGCGTGTCATGTAACAACATGACTACATGCCACGCTCATGATGCGCTCGCGGCCGTTTTGCTAGCTTTACATATGCCAAACTTCGTGTTATGTGACGTCAATAGACGACGAAGGTATGTGACTGGTGAACACGTGATAATCATGAATGCGTGTCATTTGAGAACATGACTACATGCCACAGTCAAAGCACCAATACATTTTGACGTGACGTGGTGCGTGTGCTCACCGGCGTTCATTTCGTCGGGTCATGCCGGCGTTGCCACGCTAGGCACCGGTCCTGCCATTTACTCGCAGGCACGCGCCGCAATGCGTTGCTTGACGCATGCGCGTTTCACCACGTCTGGAATTCCTCCGTCACGAATAGAGGGCGATGCAGTGTTGTCTGGACGGATCGGCGCGAAATGCAGCATGTCGCATTTTGCGCCGGTTGCCGTCGGGCTGCGTCGACGGATGCTGGCCGCGCCTGGCATCAGACTATAGAGTGCTCACGTTTTGCTAACGTAGTGTCGCTATGCCCAGCGTGCGTGCACGTCACCGCTACATTAGAGTATATTGGGCCCGTCACGATGCGCTCGCGGCCGTTTTGCCAGCTCCACATATACCAAATTCGGTGTTACGTACGTGACGTCAATGGATGACGAATATATATGACTGGTGCAAACATGATAATTCTGACACGCGTGTCATGTAAGATTGCGACAACGTACCAAGCTCATAGCGTGCTCGCGGTCGTTTTACTAGCTTCACATATACTAAGTTTGGTTTCAAGTGACGTGAACAGATGACGAAGGTAAACGACACATCCAAACATGATAATCACGACACGGAAGTCATGTACGGCATCATATACCTCCACCTCTTAAAGTTGTACTGATTTCAAAGTGACATATCAACGATTCCCATCCGTGCTTCGCATCTTATCTTTCCTACTGTACGTGGGAACTGCCAATTTTTTTATTACTGCATTTTGCCAAGACGCAGTCAGTTTGGCTGCGAAACGGCTATCGAACCAGGCTGACGCACTTTCACGTTCCTATCAGTTAAAGCGCGTTGATTCTATCGCGAGCACTGGTGGACCACTAGATCAATAAGAAGAAGCAATAGGAAGCACGAGAGGAGGAATGACTACAATAGCTTGTCGTTTGAACATTGAAGGAGGTGCTCCTTCGTGGCTCAGTGGCTTACGCCTCCCACTCACAACACTGAGGTTGGAGGTTCGAATTCACGCGCCGGACTCTTTTTCTGGATTATTTTCTTCGTGGCGTTTTAATCTATAAACTACGGAGCATCTCCCTGAAGGTAGGCCTCATTGGATGCAAAGCAACAGTGGTGCGCACGGCGTTGACCGGCTTAATACGGGCGTTAACGCGGGTGCTGGAAAATGGTTTGAAGTGAAACTCAATGCGGCGTTTTCTCGAGTAAAGGTTTGGTCGAACGCAAAGACACGGGAGGCAGGAAGCGCTGAAGATGCTTGCACTGGGATTCCTTGGATCGCGTGTCGTCGGTGTTACCCGCGCAACGTCTGTCTTCTCGGAGGACGCCATCGGTGTTTTAGGAGGCCCGTGTGCTCAGATTTGGGTGCACGTTAAAGAACCCCAGGTGGTTGATATTTCCGGAGTCACCCACTACGGCGTCTCTCAAAATCATATGGTGGTTTTGGGACGTTAAACCCCACAAATCAATCAATCAATCAATCGGTGTTTTATGGGCGAAACTCCTTATAGCGGCACCCGTTCGTCCCCCATAGTATGTAACAAGTATAACTTTTTGACCTCCAAGGTGGCGCCGGTGAGAGACTTCTTCTGTGCGTTATTGAACAAAAAAAATAGCGCTCAATGTACATGTCAATGGCTGCTAATGGGGAATGAGAGACAGAAGCATTCGGCTTTTAGTTAACGCGCAGGCTGCGATGACCATTAGCAGCCATTGGCATGTACATTGAGCACTATCTGACAAGAAAGGGTTCCTACGTTATACTCGCTGGGTGTAACCTCCTTAGCATTAGAAAGGTTTAGCGAGCGTTGAGCCACAGTGCCATGAATACAATGAACTTGTATATACCATGAATGAACTCGAGGTGGTTAAAAAAAGGAAGTAGATACGAAGCGCAAGCCGTAAGAAAGTAAAAGCCGAATTCTCCGCTTCTCATTTCCCATTAGCAGCCATTGGCATCTACATTGAGCACTATCTGACTGAAAAAGTTTGCTACGTCATACTCGCTGGGCGTAACCTCCTTGGTTTTCGAAAGGTTTAGCGAGCGTTTGGCCGCAGTGCCAGGAATACAGTGAACTACTTTATACCATGAACTCGAGGTGGTTAAAGGTGGGAAGTAGACCCGAAGCGCAAGCCGTAAGAAAGTGTGTGCGTGCCACCTCTCGTTTAGTCCTTGGAATGTCCGCTGAATGGCGGTGCTTCTATATGGGGAATATATGATGAAAAGATGCGACATGGTGGTACCTGGAGTGTTGAATAGATGGACGAACGGACACACATACAGATGCATGGATGGACGCATGAACGGACGCAGGGGCGGGTGCATGGACGAACGCAAGGATGGACGCACGAACAGACGCACGCACGGACGGGCTGATGGACGCATGGACGGTCACACTGACAGACGAATAGACGGACGGAAGCAAGAACGAATGGAAGGACGAATTCTTCGCCCCAGTCTCCATCATTCACTCCGTGGATATGCTGCCTTTTTTTTACTCACAGCTCGTTGGTGTCGCTGGTATTCGACTGCCGATGCTTGCGGTCGGCTTCCCTAGCTCGCACCACGTTGGTGTTGGCCTCGCCATAAGCGAACGCGATCGGCTTCACTAATCTTCCCAACGCCAGCGACCGCCGCAAAAGGTTTGTGCACACCAGCAGGAAGCATGCCGCGACGGCGTCGCGTACGTCGGCGTGATCACGCGGTAAGCAACCGCGCGCTTTCCGCATTGTCGGAGCCGCGAATGAATGCAAAACTTTATTACAAATTGCTTTCTTCCGGTGAAGGTGGAGCCCTCAGTCCAGGGCCCCTCTGGCTTTTGCCATCTTGCAAGCTCTGTCGATCAGCTTGAGCTGTTCTTCAGGCTTAGAGTAGGACAGCGCAGCCTCCCACTGCTCCGGTGTTGGTGTACAGTTTTTCGGCACTACCTGTGTGTGTTGGCAGGCCCATGTTACGTGGTAAAGTGTGGGGTGTTCTCTGCATAGCGGGCATTTGTTGGTGTATATTCCCGGATAGATTTTACACAGAAGACTGAGATTGGGGTACGTATTAGTCTGCAGCTGTCTCCAGGCAACCGACT